GTCACAGTGGCCGCGCGGAACTCAGGGGGAAGCGCGTGCTCGGAGGGGACTGAATTCCGGGGAAGAGGCGCAGCCTCGCGGCTCCTCCGCAAGCGCACGCCGGACTGTAACCGGCAGAGCGGCTCTGCGGGGACGGCCGGGGCGCAAACCCGCCGAAGTGACCAAGCACCCGAGACCCTTCCAGCACGACGCCGAGGCTCAGCACCAAAGTCGCTCAGGTACCCAAGGCAAGATCCCACCTCACTAGACAGCGGGGACCAAGGAAGGAGCAGCTGCAGGACACGCGACTGGAGTGACACATCGTGCCCTGCGTGCCGTGCAGCACTGCCCGCCCTCTGCAGCCCCGCGTGTCTCCCAGCCCCTCCAGGAGACCTCTGAGCCACAGGCGCAGAAGGGGTGCAGAGAAGGAGAAAATGTTACGAGGAGGACCCAGAAGAAAGGCTCCGACCTCGCCTAAAGCTCCAACACCTAGCCGGGCAGCGCCTTCTCAGCTTGCTGTAGGTGGCACCTCTGCGGGGAGCGTCCTGGGAGCAGCAGCCTGGCCTGCTGCTGCGGCTAAGGTCGCTCCAGCTGAGAACACTGACCTTTCTCTGGGCCTCCAGGAACCTGATGTCTGACTGAAATGGAAGAAGAGTTCCTCCTCTGCCTGCCTGTTGGGTTTGTCCCCTCCGCGCTCCAGCTGGGGTCAGATTCCGCTCGGCTTACACGTTCACATGTGTCATTTAAAGGTGTTTAGTCCATTATGGAAAGTCAGGAGCCCTCACAGCACTGTTTCCTGTTTTGTGCGTCACACTCACCTGAGTTACGGCTGCACCCTCTGCCTCTTGTCCCCACCTGAACCCCAGTCAGGGCTGGCTGCCCCCACCTCTGAGGGAACCTGACTGTCTGCAAGATAGGTCCTCAGGCAGGAAGCCGGAAGCTCTGTGGGAGAATCTAGCACTTCCTACTCCTCTGAGCACAGCCCCTGCTCCAGAAGGGCTTCTCCCTGAGCTCAGCATGAGGCCTGAGATGTGCCTGCTGGCCCTTGTCACTGTCCCGAGAGGACTCTGCAGGTGGGTTCTTCTAAGCTGAGGAGAATCTCAGAGGATGCCGGTCCTGGGACCTCCAATTTCCACAAATGTGCTCAGGCTCTCCGTGATGCCGCCCTGTCTTCGGGACCTGTGTGTCCACCTGGGGCACTCCACCGTGTCCCTGGAGACTTCATGCCTCAGTCCAGGAAAGCAAGGCCCTGCCCCTGGTCCCCACTCCGTTCCACATGGGAGCTGTCTGCGGCTCAAGAGAGACCCAGTGTCCCTTGGGAGCACCCCACTTTCCCTGCTGCCACCCAGAATGGAGAGGAGAGGATGTGGCCTGGGGAGGGCTGCAGGCTGCCTCAGGGTAGAACCTGCCCTCAGCCAGAGAGGGTCTGCTTTAGCCACTCTGAAACTGCTCTAGGCGTGAGTAAATCCACTGCAGACGAGTACAGTCCCACCTCCCACTACAGTGTAGGGGCGCTCCACATAGGTAAGGAAAGCATTTGGGGGCAGGCCACCCCCAGAGAGGCACAGGGGCGCTGCCCAGCTGTGGCCAAGCACGAGGACTTGTGCAGTGTTCCATGTTCTCCCCTCACTGCCTCTGAACAAATCCTGGAAGTGCCCGAGGATTACCATCACAGAGTCCCAGGGTCAGAAGCGAGCTGGGGTGGGAGCTGTGTGGGTGGGGACAGGGACACTAGTCCCTCCCTGGCCGGTCCCCACCCTAACGATCCTTGTCCATGATGGCCTGATCCCCTGCTGGGAGGTGCAGTGCTGATGTGGCCATTGCATTTCTGAGGCTCTCTGTAGACAGGACCCAATCCGCACACCAACTATCCAACATACGCCCCCCCCCCAGAAAGTGTCTTCTGCTCCTGGGTCCTCAGAGCTCATCTCTGCATCCTCCTCATCCCTTCTGGACCCCGTAGTCCCAATGCCCCAGCTCCGTCAGAAGGACACAGTGTCAGGGCCTCTCCTGCCCGTGGTCCCTAGTGCCCTGTCACTTATCCTGCCCTCTGATAGGTCTGGTGGGAGGGAGGCTCTGGACCAGGGTGGACCTGCAGCCAGGCTTTGGGAGGGTGGAGTGTGAGCACGTAGCTAGTGTTGTCTGTCTCAGCCACAGGGAGCCCTGGGACTGGACAGTCCTCTGGGGAGGAAATAGTTCACATGCTGCCTGCTGTCCAGCCTGGGTCCCTAGCAGAGTTTAGACTCTGTCTTCCCTTGGTTCCTCTGCCCTGGAACCTAGCAGGGTCGGTGCCAATGGCACACCCATGCCGTGGCTGTCTTTTTTAGCATGTCCCTTTCCCTGCAGTCCCAGGAGACAGGAGGATCCTGCTTGACCCCACCCACCAGGGGACAGTTGAGTGCCCAATGCTTGGTGCCACCTGTTCCTCCCACTGTTGTCCTTGGGCTCCCCCAACACAAGGCTTGGCAGACAAGGGTCACACATTTATTCAAACATAGGAGGCCCAGCTTCTGCAAGCACCAGGCCGCTCCTACAAGCCTGGTTCCAGAGGAGGCTGCAGAGAGACCAGGAAGAAACCTTTCCAGGCGCTGAGCCTGGGGGCCATCTCCTGGCACATAAAGGGTGGGTGGGGGAGGTGGGGTCCTACAGTGATGTCCTTGTCTCCTTCAGGATGGTGGCATCTTCCCTCCAGTCTGCAGCTTGTGCTTTGAGGTGGGACTGTCCTCTTATGGCTGGCAATCAAACTACTCTCCTCTTGGTCCCCATGTGCTACTGGATAAAAAGCACAGATCTCTACCTCTGACTACTGACCATCTGCTAAGTGGCTACATCATCCTGGCATGGCCTTCAGAAGAGGCCCAGGGCCTCCTATCCTGAGGCTTGGGAGCCAGGTTAACCGGGGAACTTGGCGAGCTGGCGCCGGGCCTGGCCCAGCCGTGCCAGTCGCTCCTTCAGGAACTTCCTCTTCTCGCTGGTGTCGCTCCGCTCCTTCAGGAGCCAGGTGCAACCCTCCTTGTCCTGCAGCAGCTGCAGCATGCCGTTCCGCAGCCGCTGGCCGAACATCTGCAGGACGTAGTACTGGACAATCAAGGGGATGTGGGTGGACATGCGGCTGTGAACCTCCTGGAAGAAAAGATCACAAAAGGGTTGAGTGGTGAGTACAAAGAGGGAACCCTGATCTCACATGCGAGTATTAGAGGACCCATTGCTCCAAGGAGGGAGACCCTGGCCTGGGTTCACACTCAGTGTTCTCGGTGCGGGGGGTAGAAGAGGCTCCGTGCGGACAGAGAAGGGCCCCACATGGGTCACAGTAGCCATGACCTCTGTCCCTGGCCTCCCTGGCCATCATCTGAATGCCGGAAGGAAGAGGGTAGAACAACACTCTGTAACAGTGAGGGGCCCGCTCGGTCCGAAGGGACATTCACTGGCACCCACCCTCGGGGGAACACCCCACTCTTGTTCGGGTCAGGCCTCGGGCTGCTTGGCGGCAGGGTCTGGGCTGTGACAGCCCAGGCAGGAGCCCGAGTCCCAGCGTGGACAGAGTCCCTGCTCCGTCCTCTCCCTCTGTCCTCCTGCTCTCACTCTCTTGGACACACATTGATCCAGGGCTGTGGCATGTGCAGGCGGCCCGTCAAGGTCTGCCGCCCCTCTGTGACTCAGTTTCCTTCTCTGGGGTGCACGGACAACATGGCCACAGATCCCCCCAAATGGGGAACCACAGACAATGTGTCAAGAGCCACCCGCTCGGGGAGGAGCTAGGCAGGTGACGAGCACCCAGGGGCTCTTCTGGCAGGGGCAGCGAGACGCGCAGCATGTGAGCCAGGCATGGCCCGTCCCCAAGGCCATGGAGGAGAGGAGACAGAGCTCCGGCAAAGGGCGGCTCCCAGGAGCAGGCCACGAGGAGGCCCTGGGTGGGGACATGGCCCCAGCTGTCAGGAAGGAATCCGTCACCACACAGAATTCTGACCCTTGTGACCTCAGGGACGCACCCGCAGGACACTGTGCTCAGACATATCAGCCAGCCCTGTTTTTACAGGCCTCTGAGGGCTCAGATCCCTAGAGACAGAAAGGAGGATGCTGGGTGCTGGCCCTGAAGGCGGGGACTCAAAAGGAAGCCCAGGCTCAGAGAGATGAAGTCACTGGGTCCGGACCACACCCCAGTCCAAGCCAGCTATGGGGGCCTCTAAACCCCTAGTGCCTCTGTCTAGCTGAGGTGGAGCTCAGGGGGCCACACAGAGCTGGCTGGTCACCTGGCGCCACATAACCCCAGACACGGGTTCTCAGACCGAAAGGACTCGGCCCCTCGGGTCTGCGATATGAGCAACGCACCTGGCAGTAGGCGTTCAGGTGCTGGAGGATTTCGGCCATAGCCGTGTTCCTTGAAGACTGAGAGATCTTGCTCTTCCCCTCCTCCTTGGCCTCCTCCTCCCTGATCTTCTGCAGCGCGCCTCGGTAAGCCTGGTCCTGGCAGTAGACGATCTGCTCCATCTGGAAGTGAATGCGGATCGCCTTCTCTGCTGCTTCTTCCTGGCTTGATCTAATATCTTCAATTTTGTTCTGCGGGAAGAGAAAGACCCCTGAAGATCCCTCAGGAGGCGAGCCCGAAACCACAGCACACAGCCCACCTACGAGCCCAAAGGAGCGGCCACCGACCTGGACATCCCCACCGACAGTGCCATGAGACCTCACCCGGGCCCTGCCTGTTCTGTCCTCGGCCAGGACTCAGTTTCTCTCCTTGCTCCCCGTGGGTCTGAGGGGAGGCGATGGTGGCCCCCAGGGGACAGACAAGGGCAGGAAGGGCTGGACTGGGGTCAGTCCCATCCCACACATGCACTGTCCCTGCTTCCAGGGCCCCCGAGGAGAATGGCTTTGCCCAGAAAGCACCCACGCCCTCCACCTCGCAAAGCACTGCATGTGAGGCTCAGTGCTGGTGGGCCCCACCCATGTCCTCCTGTCACGACCACCTCAAGACACGTCACTCGTCCATTCAGGGCCACGGGCCAGTAAAGCAGCCACCCTCAGCCTCAGGCTGGAGGACGACAGAGCCAGGGGCCCCTCTGTGCCGGGATCCTGCCCTGCCAGAACCGGCGTGTGCCCTGACTTGGGCCACACCTGTCCCTGTGCCCCTCCCTCTCCTCAGGTCCAGCTTCTGCACTGAGCCTTGTTGAACGTCCTGGGGGAGCCTTCACCTCCTGCACTCTCCGCTATTCCATGTCGACACTGACCAGGGTTCTGGTTCCTGAGCTTAACCATTTCATTTCTTTTTTTTTTTTCTTGTCTTTTTGAGACAGGGTCTTGCTATGCAGCTCAGGATGGCCTCGAGCTCACTTTGTAGCCCAGGCCGGTCTCAAACTCACAAAAATCCTCCTGCCTCAGCCTCCCAAGTGTTGGGATTACTGGTGTGCACCACCACGCCAGGCTACCATTTCATTTCTGAGTCCCCCCAACCCCACTGCTTTAACCAGATCTTGCTGGGGGCACCAGCAGGGAGGTTCCCTGGAGAGTGAGACGATTCCAAATGTATAAGGGAAAGGTATCCAAATGTATGCAAGAAATGCGGATTCTACTGTCTGAGTTTTTATTCTTCTTTAATGACGTGTTTGTTATCGGCTTTACCTTGGTGGTTCTGTAGAGGTTAAAAAACTCAGTGAAGTTTTTTTCGGACACATCTGTGAAGGCCTTCCGGACCATATCTGCTCAAAGAGAGAAAGGCAAGTCAGCACCAGCCGGCTCCTGCATGCCTCACCTGGGCTGCAACACGCATGGCTCTAACATGGTCCGCAGCACAGGCTCCTGTCCCTCGCCTCTCCTCTACCCTCTTCCCCTCTGTCCCTCTCCTCTCCTCCTCCTCTTCCTTCTCCCACCTCCTCGCCCTCCTCCATCTTCCCATCCTTCCCCTCCTCCTTCACCAGGAAGACAAAGCCATGCTCCACTGAGTGAGAACCCACTGGAGGACCTACAGCTATGCGTCCTCTGGCATATCTCTACTTCACATTGAAATGTCTTATCCAAAGTAGAAGCTGTGTTTCCAGGAAAGTAATTTCTTGCAAATTACAAACCTATTAATACTTAAAAAGAAAACCATCACATCATTCTTCAAGTCATCAATAGAGTCTCTGTGTCCACGCTATTCATTTGAAAAAGAATCGCAAGAACCTGTTCTTATTTAAACAAAACACATTTATGCTCTTATTTTTGGAAGTTTCTGTTCTAATTTCTTATAGGAGGTCACTATCACGTTGCCGCATATCAATATGCTCGCATGTCTTTATTGATGTCCAGATCACAACTTTCTGAAAAGTGGGGGTCTACATATTTGATTCTCAACTTTGTTGCATGACTAGGAGGCTGTACGTACCGCACACTTTCCTCTGGGCATAAAAAAGCACGCACTGATGATGACAGCATGGAATGAGGGAGGCAGGTGTATTATTCTGCAGCCCCGAGGTAAGGTGCACCGGACACACCTGGGCATGAGGTGTCCAGAGCCGTACTGACCCTGTCGCCTCAAGGAACCCTGAAGGACTGGGCTTTGCTGAAGCAGGAGGTGAACTCTGGGGAGAAGGCCAGGCAGGGCAGCCTGAGGGGAGAGGTCTACTCGGATTTGAATCCAGCAGGCGACACATTTCAAGAGGGAATGAGCAGAGGATGAGACTTGGGTCTCCCTTGGGGTCACTGACCACAGAGGCACCCCACACCTAGGAGAGCCAAGGGGACTCACACCTGGCACAGGCGTTTCAGCCCTGACCTGGATCCTCAGAGCCGCCCCATCAGCACAGCCTCTGAGAGTACAAGTGACCACAGGCACGAGGCAGAGCGGCCTGTGGCAGGAGACACCCAGATCTGCTTTGGAGGTGTCAGGACACAGCTCAGGATGCCTCAGCAGCTCCTGCTATGCAAGCACCCTGTGTTCTATGCAGGTGACAGCGGTGGGTCTGGAAGGCTCAGATGAAGCTGGTCACCAGATGGGCTGGGTAAGGATCAGAAGCCGGGGACTCTCACACCCACCACCCTCAATTCCAGCAAGGAAGCTGGGTTGTCACTCCATCCTCCACACTGAGGCCTGCCTGAAACCTCCAGGTTTCCAAGTTCAGGTGGAGCCACAGGTGCTCTGGGAGGGTCACACAATCCTACTCCACAGAGCCTCGGCCCCTGGATGTCTTATCAGCACAGCGCTGGCCAGGGAATCAACCAAACCCAAGAAGATGGCAATGGGACCCTGATTTATAGATGGTCACTCAGGACTTGGGATGGAGCTATGAACCTGGGGGCAGTCTTGGGCACTGAACCCTCACCAGGTGTGCCTCAACTCCTACATTATCAACTCTATGGTACTATCAGGATCACAACCTAGGGGAACCCAGGCTGGCATCTGGGGCAGCAGAGAACAGGTTTCGTGTAGCAAACACACGAGGGAGTTCTCTGAAGTTCCATTCTGCTTCATTGACCTTTTTTCCCGGCCAGAGTAATAGACACCACCACAGGGAGCTGTACTGACCGGTGACCTGGTGCAGCATGTCCACAGCTGGCTCCTCCAGGGCCCGGAGTTGCCTTTTGATGATCTTCTCAAACGTCCTGTAGTTCACAAACCCGGGCAGCTCTCTGCCACGATGCTGGTTTTCAAATTTCCAGATTTCAGTTTGTAAACCATCATAACCTACAGCAGGAAAAGGTAGCTTTGCTTGAGTTTACCAAAAAATCTTACAGATTTTTCTAATAATCACATTGTGCTTGTCTGTAAACATGAGTGGCAAGAAAACGCAAAATCAAAAGTAATTCTTGGTTTTCAAATGGGAAACTATGCTGGGGTTGCCATAAAGAAAGCAATCTCAAGATAATTCACTCTGTAAGCCCAAGCCCGCAAGTGCAGAGCCAGAGAGCAGAACTCGAGAAAGACGGATCTTGGAGAAGCACTAGAGTGTGGAATTTCATAAACCCCATTAGATTGTACCGAAGACAAAGGATCAGGATAGGGAATGCTCCTTACCCAGGACCAGTGGCCTGTAGGATGCAAGATAACCTTGAGCACAGCTAGAGTCACAGGGTCACCTGCTGGTCCCCTGCTCCTGAGATGTGGCACGAGCAGGAAGTGTCCCTCCTCCCAGGGACCACACGGTGAGCGGGCACGCTGGAGTGTGACATGGGCTGTGGGAGACCCCATCAGGGTGGAGATACAGAAGGGCCCTGCCTCCGCCCTTAGGAATGGGTACCCTGGCTCCCCCTTTGGACAAGAGAGATTTTTGCAGAGGAATTTCATTACTGAGGTTAATTCACGAACAATAAAACTCATGCTATTAAAGTGAATGATCCCATGACTTTTGGTATATTTACAGAGTTGTGCAAGCCCTCCAGCAATTCCAGGACTTCGCCATCACCTGGAGGATGCCCTACACCTGTACAGCAACCCCCCCCCACGTCCCCTTGCTCCAGCCCTGCAGCCCCTCCTCTGCCTCCTGTCTCGATGGCTTCCACCATTCTCGACATATCACCAGCAACAATCTCATGATATGTGCTCTTTTCTGACTAGTTTCTTTCATTCCACATCAGGTTTTCCAGGTTTAGCCATGTTCAGCATGTGTCTATGCTTCTAGCTTTCTGACAACATCATCCTGAGCAGTGTTATAGGCCCTGGTGCATTCCCCCAAAATTCCTGTGCTAGGATCCTAACCCCCATGACTTAGAATGCCTCTGTGCCACCAACAGGAACTCTGAAGTAAAGAGGAATTAAGGTGAAGTGAGGTCGTTAGCGTAGGCTCTGAGGCTACCTGACTGGTGTCCCTATGCAGACTGGAGACCAGGAACGTAGACACACACAGGGAAGCCTGAGGACACAGGGAGAAGGCACTGGCTACAGGGCAAGGGGCGAGGCCTCAGAGGTCACCAACCCTACGGAATCCTTGACCTTGGAGCATCAGCATCTAGAACTGCAGGACCTGCTACTCTTCTTTTCTCATCACCAGGGCTAGGGTTGTGTTCTAACAGCCCAAGCAAGCACACACACAGGGCAGCCCCTTGGGTTTCTCCAGTCACCAGCGGAGGGACCCCGGGCTTGAGTGATACCATGAGTAACGCTGCCCTGACCGTTCCTCTGTGAGCTTCTGTGTGGCCGCGTGTTCCCAGTTCCCTGTGGGCTTCTTGGTGGTAGAGTTGCTGGGCCATATGCTTGCTGTTTAGGGTGACTGCCAAAGTGCCATCCAAAAGAGCTGGGCCACCTCACAGTTCCGTCGCAGTGTGTGAGGCTCTCACCATCTCTGCCTCCTGCCCAGCGTTTGTCATGGTCGGCCTTTCTGATTACAGCCACCCCAGGGTGGGGCGTGGGTTGCTGCTGTGCTTTTGATTTACATTTCTGATGGCTGACGATGTTCAGCATCTTTTTGAGTGGTTTATCGGCCATTCTGTGCATCTTCCTATTGGACAAGTGTTGATTCCAATCTTCAGCCTAATTTCTCATTGGATTGCCCTTTTATTATAGAGTTGGAACAGTTCTTCATTTGCTGGATGCAAGATCCTCTCTTATTAGATACATGGGATCTACAAATATTTCCTCCCATTTTGGAAGGGGCAGAGTGGACCTTTCCCAGTGTGGAGACAGAGCCCACAGCTGGCGTTCAGCCCTCTGGACCTGGTGGTGGTGAGCAGCTAGGGCCAGTGGGCACGGCGGAGATGTACGTAGCAAGATCCCCCAAATGAGTGTGCCAACAGGCCCTGTATTGTGAAGCCTTCCATGTACTCCATCCACCCTCCATGCCTCCTGCCACGGACAAGTGGATTCCACAGTGTAGCCAACCCACAAGACGGAATAGCCCTCTCCCCATGTTCTTGACTGTTACTCTGAAGCTCTGGTTGATTAAAATGAATTGTGGATTCCTATCAAGTTCCTTGAAGAACAGCAGTTACTTGGCAGATATACCATGGCTTGACGGATGATTCCTTCATGCTTTTTGTCAAATAGACTAGATTAAGAGGCTCCTGGGGATGTGTTTGGATCTTGAGGGCACTGCACTGCTCAGCAGATTCATCTACTAATTTCATCAATGAATGTGCTGAGAGGAGGCAGGGCTGGGTGGCTGGGGGCGCCTGTAGAAGCCACATCTCTCTCTAGGGTCTTCCCCGGTGCTCTGCTTCCCAGCCACTGTGGAAAGCAGCTTTGCCCTGCCACGTCCTTCCGCCAAATAAACCTCTCCTCTTATCAATTGTGCATGTCAGGTACTTTTTGGCAGTGAAAGGAAGGCTGACCAATATATTACATGTCCCTTGAAATCAGTTACAGGTGCCTGTTGGCCTCATTTAGTGACAAGGAACACAGCGAGTGTAGCTTCTGGGTGGATAACTGCCTACTCCAGCCATGGTCCTTACCACTCACATCACGTTCCTCTGTGTCCTCAGAGACCACGGGAGATACTGGACTGCACCCTGACTCATTGATGTGGTCAGAATGTGTTTCCCAAGTTCAGATGCTGAAACTTTGCCCACAGGATGCCGCTGTTCAGAGGTAGGTCTTTAACAAGATGTCAGGTGCTGAGGGCTGCATATTCGCAGACCGTATATGTGTAGCAAAGAGGTCTGAAGGAGCTAGCCTGCCCGCCCCCATGTGAGGACGCGGCCGGAAGTCACCACCTTGGAAGCAGCTGCAGAGATCCAGCCCTCACCAGACGCCCAATGCACTGGTGCTTTGACCTTGGACTTCCCAGCATCCAGAAGTGTAAGCGATGAGTTTCTGGCCTTTATAAACTACCCTTGCTGAGATTTTTAGTTACAGCAGCACAAATTAAGACACTCACCTTTTGCAAAATGCTTCTCAATCATGGAACTCCACGACTGGAATTGTTGTCGGAGTCTGGCAAACAGCCGGGTGCCGTCCATGCCTACATTTTCCTCCCCCTCGATTATAGCACTGATGTCCTGATTAAATGCATTGATTTTCTGTCAAGAAGAGAAGCAGTGTATCAGCAGAGATACTTCAAATGCAGGGGTCGAAGTGGCTTGGAGGTCTTGTGTGCTTTGAGGGTGGGTGAACCATTCTCCTCCTCCTAACCACGCTGGGACAAGGACAGAGAAGAGGCCCTGCCACCAGGAGACCCCCGTCCCTCCAAAATGCCCTGGGGATCTTGAATGAGGCCCTTATCAGAGTCCCTGTAATGAGCAGGACTCCCTGACCTCTGTCTCCACCGGCACCCTTCTTATTGCTAAGTGAGCAGAGCGTGTATGCAGGAGCCTCGGGCCAGAGAGGACAGCAGGTATCAGTCACAGGATGCCTTGGAGGACAGCAATGTGGCAGTCTCCAACACCAGCCCACCGGCGATCCTCACCTCAATCAGGAAGAATGTTTTCTCACTGTCATCTTCTGGGATGTCCATGCCATACTTCTGTAACTCCTCTGTTGTTCTCTGGTGAAGGTCCTTTATTTGACTTTCCAGCAGAGGCAGAGATTTCTGGAAAAAAGAGAGAAAAAACAAGGGGGCATAGAAATATGGACTCGGAATGGAAAGGAGGCCCTGGGCCTGCTCTGCAGAGGGGCTGCCTGTTCCAAGTGACATCTCGGTGTCCTCTCATAATTTTCCTGGGGCAGAGAAGTGCAGTAGGGGTCTCCTGTGCACCCCAGCCTGCCATGTTCCTTCTCCCAGCTCCCAGCCATGAGCCACCAAAGAGCAACTCCTGATTCACCCTCTACGAGCTCTCTGCAGGGACAGCAGCCTGAAGCTCTTTTTTTGGAAAAGTGGCAGCTGGAACAACTTGAGATTCTACAACTTGTATGCTGTTTTCAGCAGAGGAACGCTATCAGGGATACCTGTTTCGATCCTTGTGGCCAGCTGGGTAAGCAGCTCACCCACCAGCGGTAGTACAGACCACACTGGCCAGGATGTTAGCACTGTCCCTTCCCATGCGCCAGGTGGCAAGACAATAAGTGAGACTAGGAGGTTGAATCTAGGACTCGGGGGTCACCCAGGGACTTGAGACAGCAGCATGGACACCAAATGGATACCTTGCAGCCCCATGCAAGAAACCCGAGCTCAGATTCAGGAGCCAGACCTGGTGCAGGGGGAAGATGAATCCCCTCAGCTTGGTCAAGGCTGGGAGTCTGACAGGAGAGCAAGCTCTTCCTGCTAAGATCACCCCGGCAGTTCTGCCCTCACCAGCATGGTCTGCGAGGCATTATCCTGCTCTCCACCCAAACCATGGGGTCGGGGAGAAGAACCTAGACCTTGGCTCTGGGCAGAGGGGAAAGAAGACCCCTGCTGAGCCTTGGAGCCCACGAGCTGCCTTCCCAAGGTTCTGCTGTGCAAACCCAGACTCTGACCAAACCCAGAAAATCCACACCCTAGAGCTTGCAGGAAAAGTGGAATCAGCCCCAGCCCAGACCTTCTCCTTCTCACTGCTGAGCTCTCCTGGGCACAGCATGTCTCTGAGCCGCACAGCTTGGTGTGGCATCCGGGGCCCCTCTAGGAGGACACAAGGTCCTGCCTGCACTTACACAGATGTGTGCGATGAGCTCTTCGGACAGTCTCTCTGCCAGGCAGGGGACCGTGGCCTTTCTGTCCTTCAGCAACACCCTGAATGGGGATGAAGAGAGATTTCCATTAGGATGTGGACAAAACACACACATCTGTGCTGGGGAAGTCAAGCACAGTTGTTTCCAATGGAGTTGTTGACACACGACTGATACCCATCATACATCAGTGGATTGAACACACCCTGGGTGCAGGGAGCGAGCTCTGTCAGGGGCTGCGTGACCCCATCCAGCTCAGCTGGGAAAGTATCTCAGGACTGGACTATCATGTCCAAAATGTACACATGCACAACCACAGGCAGTGTCCATGGCAAACACACACATGAATATACACACACCAGGTTGCAGTCACATGTGAGTACACTCTGCATACAGGGGCAGGTACATATACAAATATGCATGCGCGTGAGGAGCACGACGCAGGGAGAATCACTCTGGCCTGGAATGTAAACCATGACACACGGAGGGGGAGGCCATGCAGCCCTCTCAAACTGCCCCAATCTGTGTGCCCAGAGTGGGCTGTTTTAGGCTGCTCTGGAGTTGATGGGGTCGTTCAGGGTGACAGGCAGCAGAAGGCTAAGCAATGGCCTGGCTGTGACAGTTCACTGGTACCAAACTTCCGCCTACACATCCGCAATTTTTTAAGGGTGGCAAAAATATACAGGCAGGGAAATGGGACATTTTAACCATTTTTAGTATGGGGTTAGCGGTATCAAGTTCCATCACAGTCACCACCACCCTTGTCCAGAGCCTTCTCATCTGCAAAGATGAAAGTCTCCCCATTACACACATCCCCCAATATATCCATGAGGTTGCTGCCCTGGGCATGTCACTCGGGGATCACGCAGCGTCGGTCTCACTGTAACCGACTACCTCGCTCAGCGTCACATCCTCAAGGTCCCACCAAGCCGCAGCTCTTAGGGGAACTTCCTCCCCCCTGAGACTGGAAAATATTCCAGCTCCTGTATAACCCAGTGCATTTCTCTGTCCACGGACCCCAGGTCGTTCCACTCTCGGGCTGTGTGCACATTGCTGCCCTGTGTCAGAGCGTGCACAGGCCTGTGTGACACACCTGATGTTCTGAGGCTGCCTCCTTGCAGTCTTCTAGGAGGCCTGCATGCATTTCCACCTTTGCATGCATTTCACTGGAGACCAAACCAATTTGCAGTCTTTCCTGTTCAAAGTATTTCACCTTGCACATCACTGTTGAAATGACTGTGCCACGTCCCCTCTTCATTTTCACTGATGTGGGGAGGGTAATACTTTGTGATCGCACCTTTAATTTTTGCAGGCGAACACTGAGAACAAACCCTGTCACACACAGCTGCTCACTGTCACCCTCAGCCTCACACTCCTACATACACCCTGGAGATCCGCCGCCCTTCAAGGGCAATTTCCCCGCGGGGACAGTGTCTGCAGTGGCATTTGCTGGGGATAGGTGGCAAAGTGCACCTGAACTGTGGGTGGTCCTCAAAGAAGGCCTTTTCCCTCTGGAGGGCATCGGTCAGGCTCAGGCGCTCCTGGATGTCCTGCTGGCCACGGCACTTGACGATCATGTAGCCCTTCTTCAGGTGGCACACCAGGTTTTGCACCACATCCACAACCTTGTCTTCAGTGCCTCTGTCCACTAGATCAGGCTTTGTCAAGATGCCTGCAGCAGAGACTTGTGATCAGAGGACACTCCGGGTGGAAGGGAAGGGCGGCTCCTGCCCCAAGCTCCCAGGGTCCCAGGTCTTGGTCCTGCCCTAGCCTGAGGGCAGACAGAGACCCTGGCTGGAAAGCCTTGTGGGACAGACACATGAGGACAGGAGTGCTGCCTGCACTGTAGACTCTCCTGGCACAGAGGAAGAAACTGTTTATCTTGTGTCCTCCATGGACTGCGCTTTGCTTCCTTCTCCCTTGATCCCCAGTGGGTAGGATGCCCCATCTGCCCCCACCCTGCCCCACCACTGACCTGGTCCTTCTGCAACAGAAAGGTTGGGGGAACCAGGCCAACTGCGGCCCTCAAGAGCCAAGCAAAGCTCATCTCTAGCGTTGGTGGGCACCTTAGCTGCTCCTCCCAAGAGATGCAGGTCCCCACCCTCGGTGTGTGCAGAGCCTGGCACCTGAATCCGACTGCACTCCTCACCTATGGTCCTGTCTCCATCGGGATCCACCTCATTCGCCATGCTCAGCGCCTCCGTGGTGGCAATGTCCACGTTACTGGGGACCACCACCAAATTGATGGTCTCATCCTTTTGGATGTAATTTCTGATGAGCCGCTTGATCTATGAGAAATGACGCTATCAGCCTCCTGAGGTGAGAGGAGGGGTCAGACCATCCCAACCTCACACTTGCTCAGCCCCCAGACCCTAGTAGTATCTCCCCCTGAAAAGTAAGGTTAGAAAAGTGGCCCTCACCTGCCGAGCCCGAGGGATGATGAACTCTTCTGCAGCAGTCATACAGCTAAGGGGTCAGGGATGACCTTGAGGTCTGAGCTGCTTAACTTTCCCCTGAAACCTCAGATCTGGTGGTCACAGTGGACAACTCGATGCCAAAAATGCTGCCTGGCTCCCATTCCCTGAACCTGCATCCATGATCTCAGATTCACCCCTCCCCAAGTCTCCTTCACGCCTGCGTCTCACGCCCTCTTTCCGCATGAGCCTCCTCAGCTCCCCTATATTTTGCAGCGGATATGCTGCAAAATGGAACTGGAACCAACCATTACAGATACACTATTAGGGATCATCGCATAAAACAGACGAAACAGAAAATCTGTCTCCAGTTGTATCTGTCTGCCTCACTTTCACCACCAAGCTTGGGAGCTGATAACCGCGGGGCTCTTCAAGGCCACCCCACTGCACCTAGCCCGCTCCAGCACAGCCCTGGACTCGTGGCCGCCCTCTGGCAGCACGGCCTGCACCCCAAGGCCTGATCTGAATGGCGTCTACAGTCTCACCTGGCGACCGATGTCAGCGGGCTGATTGCCCACAGGCACCCTGGTGATCCCAGGAAGGTCGATGAGAGTGAGATCCGGGACAGTGGGGGAGCTGATCTCCAGACTAATGAGCTCGTCCTTGATTCCCAGCCCATCCCCAGCAATGAAGTTCTGGGCTGCAGTAGAGGAAAAGAAAAAGCCCACAGGGCTGAGTATCATTTCCCAGTCCCGGGAGACTGGAAAGCACCTACACCCTTAGGGCTTCTGGATGCAGCTCCTTTGGTGCAGAATCCACCTTCTGAGATCAGGGTTAAAGGCTCCTCAGAGCACAACTCAACACTTTCCAAGCCATGGCCAGCTCCCCTAGAGAGGCCTGCTGGTGCTGTCCGTGGGGACCCCAGCCCAGAGCAGGGCCCCATGGAACCCAGACTCCCCGTGTCCCTATGTCCCTCCCTTCATACGGGGGTAGCAGTCACAGGAGGAGATGAGTAAACACACAAAGGATCCCCCACATTGGAGCTGCAGTTTGCCCGGCGGAGGGTCAGCTCAGGCAGGAGGAGCCTCGGCTGTGGGCATCCTCATCCGAGGGTCACACCCCACCATCCCCCTCGTGAATGATATAGGTAGGATGTGAAACTCTCTTCATCGAATTGTTTGCCAATACTCCTTTGCTCAAGTCTCCTCCCCCAATGGTGAAATGTGTTGGGGATCTAGCACAGAGATGAAAAATAACAGCAATGGCAGGTGTGGGAGTCTGCTGATCACCCAAATTCCTGTGCTGGGGAACTGGGATTGTGATATTGAGCTCAGGCCCCCGGCACATGTGAAAATGTTACATGCAACGTCCAGAAGGTGGCTGGGGGCACTGACCTGCCCTTTGTCACTGCCCAGCCAGCCAGAATGTGGCCTTGCTGACCCCATCATGGGGTCTAGGGGACAGAGGTCATCCTCAGCACAGACAGAAGCAGAAGACGTGGTTTTTGACAGTGCAGTCCTTAACCCAGCTGTGCTGTGAGCCCTGCAGACATTTGTATGTCTGCCCTGAGCTGCCCACTCTCTAAGATTGCCATCATTCCTACATGTTCACTGCCTCACGCCTGACCTGGCCCTTGTCCCATCTACAGGTAGCGTATTCCTCCAATCAAAGTGTGGTCACTACCCAGTGGTATGTTCCTGAGTGTGTCCCTGCACACCCTGAAGCTGCTGTCCGTGGTGCTTGCCTGGTCTTGCTGCTCAAAGCACTCCTGCCCTCTTTACCATCAAACCCCAGAGTTTCCTGGAGTGCAGTAGTCATGCCAGCCACGGCCCAGCTATGTTACCAAAGTCTTCCTAGACCATCACCTAGGACAGCCTGCACAAAGAATGAGCACTGGCAGTGGGTTCATTGAACCATGAGAAACGCACCTTTAAGCCATGAGGCTTTCGGTCGGCTTGTTATTCAGCTGGACCTGACCAATACAGTTATTTTGGCTTTTCTGCCACAGGCAGACAAACTAATTCCAGGCAGGTGCTTGTGCCACTGAGCTATCTCCCCAGCTGACAAACTAATTCCAACTCAGACCAAAGAAAATTTTGTAACATTATTTAACTGTGTGTAAGACTATGAACCAGGGCTAAAAAGTGATACTGCCTTACAGAAACAAAGGCCTCCTTGCTTATTGTGAGGATCAGTGTGGGCCCTGTTCCCTGTCCCCAGACAACTGACCCTTAACCATGTGATGTGACATGGGAGAAACACAAAGACTCACAGGGGAGCCTTGAGTTCCCTGCAGTGGCTGCTCTGTCCTCAAAGGTGAGAGCAGGGCTGTCTCCACCACGCTTCACACTGACTGTGCTCAGTTCAGGGGGCTATCCCCTGTCAGCTGACTGGAGCTGTACCCGTGCACACACTCTCTTGGGGACAAGGCCCACAGCTCCCAGTGGAGATCAGGGGAACCTTACACGTTCCACAGTCACTTCCTGATGCCAGATTCTGTGCCCACACCTGGCCTTTGAGAGGGGAAAGGGAAGGGAGGAGTAAGACCACTGCTACTTGTGTGACAGGGCCTTGAGAGCACAGAATGAGCCAAGACTGGGATAGCGGGGACCATCACGGGGCCAGCACTGCACGGCTAGACCAGGCATCCTGCAGACGATGAGCCACACAGGGCGCTTACCTTTCCTGATTTCCTCTTCCACCTGGGAAGCATCCGTGATGTCCTCCTCAATGCCCATGTAGCTGACCTTGCCTTTCCACTCCTCTTCCGGCTTCAGCCTCTTCAGTTTCAGCACCAGGGGGCACCTGGTGACAATGCCTAGGGGCCACACCCATGTCAGTCCTCTCCTCAGGTCTTAGAGCCCCCGGATGGGGCCTCCGACCCTACTCACACTGGCACAGTCCCGGGACAGTGGGGGTGGAAACAGAGACCACTCGGTTTCCCCCTCAGATGCACTGAGCCATCATGTCAGGTGACCTCAGGCCTCTACATTTCCAAAAGGCACCCAAGGGACTTTCCTCTTCACGCTTGAAAGCCACCCCTCAGGTCAGACTTCCTGCTTCCTCCCACCGCCCCGCAGCCACTTCGGGGGACACATGCAGTGGGGAGGCCTGCAGCACCTGCACGCGTCCTCAGGGTCCCCGACACAGGCTCCACTCTCCACTCTCCCAGCACGGCCCCTCGACCAGACCCTCTTGTCTCTCACGTCCCCGTGTCCTGAGCTCTGACTCTCACCTGGGCTCTGACCTCCTCCCTGGAGCCTTCACTGGCCCCCTCGGCCGTGCACCTCACAGAGCACCGCTGAGCTGAGTGCCCATCTGCACCTCCCCAGGGAGGGGCTCAGGACGGCACCCCAAGTACACAGCAGAGCTGGGGCCTGGTCCTTTCACTCAGACCTTCCCACACCACAGGTTCCACAGAGCCCAGAGACACACTCAGTGAGACGGTGCGACTGACTGCACGGTCACCCCCCGAATGCCTCTCCAGAAGCCTTCACCAATGTGCCTGTGTGGGAGCCAGAGCCTTGGGGAAGCCATTCACGTTAAAGGAGGTAGCAGTGATAACAGCGGTGGAGTCCTTGACACTGTGACAGGTGCCCTTATGAGAGGTGCCAGAGACACCAGGATCCTGCACAGGGAGAAGGCCACGTGCAGCCAGGAGAAGGGCTGGCTGTCTGCAGTCCATAAAGAAAGACCACAACCTCACGTGCACTTGCAGTGCCAGAGCTGTGGGAGGACCTCCCCCATTCCGGGCAGCTCAACCTGACTAAGGAGGACAAAGCTCTCACCGCTGCCTCTGGGGAGGGCGACTCCTGACAGGGCCTCCAGCACGGAGCTCTTGCCCGAGCTCTGGTCCCCGATGACAGCAATGGCAGGCAGAGCCAGGTCCTGCTCCACGCCCAGGGCCCGCAGCGAGTCGATGAGGTCAATGCAGGGCCGCACCTTCTCCTCGTACTGCCTGCAGAGGTTGTTCTCAGACACCTGGAGGGGTGAAAATGCAGAATCTCTTCTGTGCTGCCTGTCATGCACACTGGAGATAGCCAACTTCAAGAACAGCAATAAACAGGCTATTAGAATCCCAAAAATGGATTGAAAGATTAGAAACTTTTTCAAAGCAACAATCATACACAAAGTGCTCAACTGATAAAAATTATAAACCCAAAGGTCCAAGAAATTAAATGAACCCCAGACACAGAATGCATGATACAACCTACATGAAGACACATCACAGGGAAATTGCTCCAAACCAGCTACAAAGAGAAAATCTCCAAAGTAGTCAGAAAATGGCATATAACATACAGAGGAACAAAGACAAGCTTGACAGCAGACTTCTAATCAGAAACAATGTCAGTATGAAGACAGTGAGAAAATAAATTTCCCAAAAAAAATTTTTGGAGGCAGGGAATAAGCCTAGCCTAGCATATCTCAGATATGCTAAAAACATTGTTTACTTCTGAACTATGACCCTCACTTCCCAACCTTTTTAAATCACTGGAAAAAACACCATGAAGAAACAATTCTATACCCATTAAAAATACGGTTTTGCAATAAAGGCAGGAGTGGAGCACATTTACCTTGGAGGACTGGCAGTGAATACGGGGATTTTGGAGGGCCAGTATCTCTCAAAGTCTGCACACTCAATTGTGGTATTATAAGCAATGAGGCTGTGACTATTATATTTTAAATAGTATTTTTAAGCTGCTACTCCTTTTATAAAAAAAAGATAGAGGAGAGCTTACATAATCAGTAAGTATCAAGCTCTGTGCTTAGCACTTTGCATACACACTCCCATCAACCTAGTAGGTAGGTTAAGTTATGAGGATTATTATACCCACTTTGTTGATGAGAAAATTGAGACTTGAAAGTGTAAGGAATGTGGCTGAGAGTACCAGCCAGCCTGGATCTCAGACACAGCAATCTGTCGCTTGTTCTTCACCACTTTCCTGTGTTATTTTCATGAAAAATCAAAGTTAGATTAAAGAATTAAAAATTAATACAAAATAAAGACTTTTTTAGGCATACAAAACCTGAACCAATTCATCACCCACACACCAGAGGGAACAACACTGATTGAAAATCAACATCTACACTGTGGAATCAACACAAGTGGTAACTTCTATACATTTTCTTATCACTTAAATATCTGGAAAGGTAACTGACTTTTTGAATGGAAACAACAGCAATAAGTTGCGGGGTTTCTGACATAAAGGAGAGGAAGCTGTATAACATAAAACACAGGAATAGCAGAAAAATGTAAGTATACAATGGGAAGGTTCTTATATTACACATGAAATGATATTTGATCAGGAAACGCATGGATATTAAAGACGTATCCAACAGACACTGAAGTTGTTTACAAGCCAACATAGGGAGAAAGTATGCCTGAAATACACAGGTTTAACGAAAAGAAGGCAGAACATCAAGAAAGAACGAAGAAAGAACAAACGCTTCAAACAGAAAAATACCGACGTAGTATTCTCAAGCCTAACAAGTCACATTTACACGTTCCTGAGGGCTTGACCCACCAGTGGAACATGCATGACTGTCCCATCAGGTGGCTTTTATTAATTTTATTAGTAAAAACACTAATAAAAATGATAAGATTTGTTCGAACCACCCAGGGAACAAGATGCCCAAAGGGTCAGTCATCCATGTACCACCAGGGATTGGAGCTGCCCAGCAGTTACACATAAGAATTACAGCCCCATGGTGAACGTATTAATTATAAAGGGCCTGAGTGCTGCCAGGACAGCCCTTCACCACTGTGAGCCCCTGCCAACATCCCCAGTGTCCTGCCAGGGGCAACCCTGCTGTGACACACAACTGACCAGAATGCAAGCGTTCTACCGTGCTTCTTACCGTATTCATGCGGGACCCTGTTAAAGCACAGGCAGGAGAGTCACAGGTGTGAGGGTGCTGAGGAGCTAAGCACTTGCTGTTCCAATACCCTGCAGGCTGTGCTGATGCTGCTGGCCTGGGGCCTCACTTTGAGAACTATCTCTATCTACCTAGCAGTGGAGCTCCAAGATGACAGTCGCACCTGAACAGGAAAAGCCCATGTCCAAGGCATGTGGTGTGAGTGGATGCTCCAGTTTAGAGCTGTAATGTCCTTCGAGAGCACAGGTATTGAAAGTTTGGTCCTCACCTGAAGAGGCGGGCCCAGGGGGAAGGCTTGGCTCACTGGGGAGAGGAGGTTGAAGTGGATAAAGGGACCCAGCCCTTCCCTTCTCTTGCTTTTGTTTCCCAGACACGAGGTGTCCACTTTGCTCTGTGACACCCTCCCACCATGCTGTGCCACCAGGTTCCCAAAGCAACTAAGTCAGTTGGACATGGGCTGAAACTTCTGACACTGTAAGATAAGTAAACCTTTCCCCTTTATAAGTTTATTATCTCAGGACTCTTGTCACAGTAACAGAAAGCTAACACAAGGTCAGGACTTCATCCTGCCCCATAGCCTGAGGATCATAGCTCAGCAAGAGAGAGACTGGTGGGAGGCGGGAAATGGAAACAGGGATCTTACAGAGATGGAGAGATAGGGGGGCCATTCTCAGTGGTCTCTGATCTTTGACAATGCTGTACACTGAAAAACCTGTTGAACATTACCTAGGAAGTGAGTTCATGTGAAACAGGCTGGTGGTCCAGGGTTTAAAACATTTAATTGTAATAAACAGAGCACTTTCTGAGGGTTTGACATTACTGCATTTATGTCTCTCAATAACCACGTGCTCTTTGATGCCATCTTAGACATGGAAAACCAGGCTAATAAGCGCAGAAAGAACTTCTCAGGGTCAGACAGCCGAAAGGGTTAGCATTGGGACCAAAGAGAGAGGGACTCATTCCAGAGCGCATGGTTAGTTTCCACCAAAAATAGGCCTCAAGTACAGGAAGTCTGATACACGTGGCTTCCCAGGGGAGGAAGTGTGAAGGCTCCTAGCTGCATAGTGAGCCACGGTATGGACAAGACCTACACAATGCTCTAGGAACCCAGGGTCCACCCAGGTCCCACATGAGCTCGTTAGCATCGCCTCTGCTGTCTCAAAACAAAATGGCACCCAGTTCCACTGCACGCTGTCCTAAGCAGAGTGACAAGCGGCCCAGATCTGCATCCCACCCCAGGAAGGACAAGGAAGCCATTATCTCAGGGAAGGAGCAACCCACCCTCCTTTGCACCCGCCACCCCCTACACAGACCCCACTGCATTCCTCAGATGGACACAGCTCCTGTCCACATGGAGTGTGACTCTTAAGACAGCGACTTACCAGGGCCTGGGCTTTCTCTGCCTTATCAGCATCTCCACTGAGTAAGAGATGGTTGGATGGGGCAGCTGAATCTCCTCGGGCTTCACCCATGGAAAGACCCATCTTCTTCCCACTTCTGTTGCACTTGGTGCTTCAAGAAAGACAGCGTGTGAGTGCTTCCCACACACAGCTTTCCAACAGCCCCTCTTTGCACCCCAACCCCGGACATGTGTGCCCAGGCCACCATGGCCCCTCATTGCTCCACCTTGAAAGGGACTGCTGGATGCACTCCTTGTGTGAGGGCAGAGGGGTGACTAGGAAAGACCAGGAATTACAAGGGGGATCCACGGATTCTGGCAATCTGGAAATTTGTTCCAAAATACCTCCCCCTCCACTGGCCAATGGGAAGACCTGGTGTTCTCAGGGGTCCTGCACTCCATGGTGAGCCCCCCATTCTGCAGGCTCTCTGCAGCACTGGTCTACCGGGCCACCACTGTCTCAGTGACCTTTAAGGAGCATGAGGTGGCGTCCCTGGTCCCAAGACCAGCACCCACCACTTCCATGGGAGCAGGCCAAACAGGACACGGGGAGTCTACGGCCTTCTTCAGTTTGTTTCATGAAATGAGATGTGGATTACGACTGAGATCTGAAATGCCCCCCAAAGCTCATGTTTAGGAAGTTGGTCCAGCTGGAGGTGTTACTGGGGTGCAGGAACCATTCAGAGGGTGGGTGCAGCTAGACAGCTGCTGAGTCCCCAAGCAGAGAGGATTCCTTTGAGTGACTTGGGGCAAGGGGTAGGGGTGCGCTGGGTACCTTAACACAGGTGACCCTGCTTCCTAGGAAAAGCTCCATTCCCAGTGGATCAGCGAATTACAAGATCCCATCCGGGCAGCTCATGGTCCCACAGGGTGGGGAGCAGGTTTCAGCAGCACCTGGGCTCCTTCCACTGCCCCTCATGTCTGAGTCACCCCAGGAACTTGGGCAGCACCTGAAGGCTGAGTCCTCCCCACCCACTGGGCCTGCGCCTCTGGGTCTCCCCGGAGACCCCAGGCAGGGCGGGGAGTGGGCAGTGCACTTCTGCTGCGCCCCTGGCCACCAGCCCTTCCTAAGGACCCAGCTGGTCCCAGCAGTCCCGTCCCCTCGGGCTGCCCAGGCCCTGGACATCGTAGGATCAGCAGCCAACACAGCCGAGGTATGCCTTTGGGGGTTCAAAGGAAGCGGCGGAACAGAAGCCCCCTCCGTGCCCCACCCGAGTCCCTGGATACCCCCAGTCCCCGAAGCCGTTCCTCCTGTAGCAGGAAGGCCCACGTGGGGGCTGCTCCTGCCGCTCCCCCACCGGGAGCACCGATGCGCGTGGTGAGACAGGACTCGGACTCGCAGGGGGTCTGCACCCACCGGGAGTCGCCAGTGTCCCCCTCCGTCCGTTACTCGCACCCACCCTGGGCGCTGTCCCACGAGGAGCCCTCAGCTCCCGCGGCCCCTGTCCCGCGCGTCCTGGAGCCCCCAGGCGAATGAAGGACACACTCACCAGTCCCGGCGCAGCAATCAGTGCAGAAGTTGGGCTCAGCTTTAAGCAGCTCAGGCCCCGCCCCGCCCCGCCCAGGGTACACAAAACGAAAGGAAACGAAACGAAAGGAAACGAAACGAAGCGCCCGCCCCCAGCGGCCAGAGCGGGGAGGAGAGCCTTGAGCAGAAACGAAACTGAACCGGGGCCACATGAGCCCTGCTAGGGGGCCCATGTTAGTGGGGTCCCCCTTCTACGCAAGGCTGTGCCGGGAAGGTCAAGGCCCTTTGGGAACCACAGACATCCGCCCCCTCATGACAGCCCGCAAGTCTGCAGGGGCTGGGGAGCACCCAGCTGGGCAGAGTCAGAGAGCCTGGAGAGCATACAAGACCCAAATTCCAGGGCTGAGGACATAGGGGCCCAGGACCACAGTGGCCAGGTCCTGTGCTGGGCACTGCCCATTCCTGGGATCCGGCATCCCCAGGCTAGGTCAGGTAGGGAAGCCACGTGCCCCCAGGAGCTCCCCTAGCCCCTGCCAAGCCTTCCGGGGCCCTCACCTGCCAGTGAGGAACCAAAGTGACACCTGTCCCGGGCTGTGAGCTCAGGTCCTGACGCTTTCTGCAGGGCATAGGGCTGCTGCCCTGCAGGCCAAGGGCGAGCCCCACAGCTCACACTGGGCCAGGACAGGCTGCTTCTGACCACAGGGTCTTTCCAAGACAGAATCCAGAAACCCCTGGGCCACATGAAATGCGGAGAGTCACAGTTTGCCACGCCTGGGAGGGCACGCCGGGAGGTGCCCAGGGTGCAGTTTGCTGGTGCAGATCCCTCAGGGTTCGTCTAGGTGCTTCCTTGAAGGTTACACCAGGAGCCTCACCTGCCTTGCTGTCCTTCCCTGACCCCCCCATTGTGGGACCTGGTCCCTTCTAATAGTTGCACATTCTGGCAGCACCCTGAGGGGCACAAGCTGGTTTCTGAGTGTGACAGTGATACCCTCCTAGCTGCTTCCAATGAGCTCTTAGCACGTTATCAAGTCAGCCTGAAGGATGCTCTTGCATTCACTCACCAATGCTACTCTCCCCAGAAGCTTAGTAATACTGGAGATGAACACGAAGCGTCATTTTACAGGACAAAGCTTTCATTGGAAAGTTAGAGGGAAGACAGGGAAGGACTGCAGCTTAAGAAGCCGCAGCAGGTGAGCTCTGGTCCAGGGCTTCAGCCTGACTCACTCACAAGGGCAGGAGGCCTGCTTCTCAGGGTAGCCGGTGGGCTGAGTTCGGATGGGTCGTTATCTCAGTCCTGGTGACACAGCTCCGGACTCAAGGCTGGAGGGGTGGTTTTGTTCCCTGGTAACCTCAGGTTGAGTACAAAGACGCATAGTTGAAGCCTGGCAATCTCCCATCTTCTGTCTTCAATCTGAAGGGGCTGAGAGCATGTAAATTCAGGGATGAATAACCTTGCAGAGCTGGGATTTTTACAGCAACAAAAAATATAAAATGAAAGTTGGGTTCTGTGTTTAGTTACCTGTCAGGGATCTGCAGACGCAGGTGAAGAGTCTTGGTTCGAATCCAGAACGGCTTTTAACGGCTTTTAGGTGCCTGGCTTAAAAGGAAAAACTCTGTTTCTCATGTGCAGCAGTGAAGGGCCCAGGATTCTTCTCTTTCCTCATCCCCGTAGAGAGCCCTGACCATGTTCTTGCTCTTGTGCAATAAAGTAGGCTGTGTGTACCTCCTGCAGAGAGAAGCAGGTCTCTGTTTTCCCCTTAGGTGATGACTTTTTTGTTTGTTTGTTTTGAGATAGGGTCTCAGTATGTAGTCCAGACTGGCCTCAAACTGGCAATGATCCTCCTGCCTAAGCCTCCCAGGTGCTAAGGTTGCAGGCTCGAGCCACTATGCCCAGCTCAACTTTCAGACTTTCCAACCCCTTACCAATAGCCAAAACTGTATAGGGGCCCTGGACCTAACCAGCACCCTTTGAGCTGAAGTTCAAACCACAAGGTTGTGGAGATCATATCTATAGCAAATGATTAAGAAAGTGCAGAAAAATCACATTGTCCTAGGTTTTCAAGGTCCACTCCCCCAGCCGCCTGTAAGCTCATCAAACCCATTTCATAGACCAATAGATTGAGGCCAAGGAGCAGGGTTGGCAATGGGAAGGGGACAGGTATGGCCCCACCAGGGTTACCCGCTAAGTCTGCCCTCTTCTCCCCATGCTCAAATCAAGGGGCAGCTCGCAACCTGCCACCTGGACTGATGATGAGGCGCTTGCTCCTGGTCTCTCTTCAGGGCTGTCCTGGCCCGAGGCCGGGCTGCCGGGTCTCCTCTGTCACAGCCTGGCTCCGGTGCCTCTGGTCCCACAGGCCCGATCCCAGTTAAGACTGCTGCAGCTCTGGAGACGACCTGGCTTGAGGGATGTGACCACCAATGGAAATCTCCGGTGAAGCCCACCTCTCCCAGGCAGTCTGCATAGGGTCCTCCCAAACCTCAGGGGAGGCTGGCACCCTGCTGAGTTTTATCTTTATCTGATTTGTGTGTGTGGTACCAGAAACTGAATCCACCACCTTCACACTGACTGCTTTTAATTTTTAAAATTGTGAGACATGCTCTTTGTAAGTCCTGAAGTTGCCAGTGCTAGGCTGGAACTTGTGATCCTCCTGCCTCAGCCTCCCTGAGTGCTGGGATGACAGGTGTGCGCCACCACGCCTTGCTTGGCACCCTGCTGAAAACCTGCAGGAGTGTCCCACAGTGGGGACAGCGTTGGTCCAAAGTGCTGGCATGGTATAGATGCCCTGCCCAGCCTCCTGCACCCACACCCACTTCTTCAAGGCCATGCCCTCCGTGTGCAGAACTTGGGCAGTCTGGTCCCTCTCTCAAGCTGAGCGCTGACTCCTTCCATCGCGTCCTCCAGCCCAGGGCCTTGCTGGCTGGAGCCCTGGCTCACGCACTGCCCTCTGGGCAGGCCGTCAGCCCCAGCCCCCTCCCCCTCGGACCCCAAGGAGCACGGGCCTGTGTGGGTCTTGGCCTCTGCCACCAGGTGAGGGCTGGCTCAGGGGTCAGCGCCAGGTCGCAAATGTGGGCTCCTTTCCCGGGGCTCCACTGTTCCAGGCACTTCTGAGTGTGGGTCTCTAGAACATGGCGAATCTGAACACTAGTTCTGTCTACACTGTGCTCCTAGGGGAGGGGGAGGGGGTGGGGAGGGGGATAGGGGGTGAGCTTGTAAGGTGTAGGGTGAGCGCGTGGGGGGTGCATGTGGGGATATAGGGGCGAGGGTGGAGGAAGGGAGGTAGGGTGGGATACGGGGGATGGGTGTGGGAGTATGGGATGGCGAGCTGCGGAGGGGGCCGGGCTGGGGCGCGTGCTTCCCGGGCCATTGGGTCTGCCTCTCTCCCTTCCCTTCTCCCCCTCCTCCCGCTTCTCCCCCTCCTCCCTATCTCTTCCATCAGCTTCGGTTTCAGTTTCGAATTCCCCTCTCGGGGTCTCAGAAAGGAAACTCGGGACAAACTGGGAATCCGCGAATGATTTAATCCCGGGGCGGGGCGGGCGGATCCGGGAGCAAAGTGGCCGTGCCCCGCGGCTGCGGAGCTCCCTGCGGTCCCAGGCTGAGCCGCCGCTAGAGCACCGACTGGGTTTCCGGTGCGGGCCTAGAGGCTGGAAGGATGCGAAGCAGGGCACCCTGCTCCGGGAGGGAGGCGTCCGAGCCCCCGCCCAGCGGCCCCTGGGCTGCAAGCGGCCTGTGTGCTCCGGTACCGTGTCCTCCTTCCTCAGTACGCCGACCCCCCAGGGGGGAAGGGGGTCCCTGCGTCCGCCTCACCAGAGTCCAGATCTGTGTTCGCGCCCGCAGTTTGGAGGGGCCCAGGTGCTGCGGGCTGCTTCTCTGTCCTCAAGGTCACCGCCAGGACGTTGCCTGTCCTCTGTCCTGGGCGCAACAGAGCCTGCGGGAGGGACAGGAGCTGAGAGCCTGTGAGCTGGCACAGCTTCGGGGAGCACTGGACGGCTGGGCTGGGGACCTCGGGGTCTGGGCAGGTCTTCATGTACGGGGTGGGAGGGCAGCCCAGCATCAGCGTTTACAGCCTTGCTGGAGGTGGGGCGGCCTCTCCAGGATCAGGGTTCCAGGATCAGGGCTCCAGGGATCAGCTGCCAGGGTCTTCCAGGGGTCAGCTACCAGGGTCTTCACACTGGGAAAGCGGCGCTGCGTTGTGAGAAGTCCCCTTACAGGGGAAGGGTCTGCCCAGGGAAAGCACCGTCCTGCCTGCCTCTCTTCCTCCCAACTGTCCTTCCTTGCGTTGTTCGAGGAACGCTGAGCACCCTGATAGGTCCATGCTGGGTGCTGGGGTGTGGGAATGGGGAGCCAGCCACGCAGGGGACAGTACTCAGCCACAGGACAGAGGGGTGCTCTGGGCCAAGTGGAGGAGCCTGGGGAGCCAGAGGGGCCCTGGAGCATGAGGATCTGGGAATCTGGGAAGGACATGAGAAGAGGACTGACGGGGGAGGTGACGGTCACCTCAAAACCATCCCAGTGTCCTGATACCGAGGAGAGGTGGTGGCGAGTACTGCACACTCCTACTTCCACAAAATGCTGAGGTCCATTGACCTGCGCTGCCCCAGCTTCCTGCCAAAGCTGGGAGCCTGTGGACCTAGGTGCTGCTGTGTACTGCACATGAGCTTGGAGGTGCTCGGGCTGTGAAAGTGTGACCCAGCCGGGTCCAGGCAGCCTTTCCAGTGCTGGAGTTGTGACCCAACGTCTCAGGGCGGCCATTCGCCTCTTTTCTCACTCCTCTGCCTAAACGACAGCTGCCGCCACCTGGCACCACAGATGCCTGGAAGGATCCAGACGGGGAAGAGTGGAGCTGTAAGCGCAGCCTGCACTTTGCCCTTGGAAGTAGAAATCTGTGCACCTGGGGGCGGTGGGGGTCCCTATCCCTATCCCAGTCCTCTCAGTTGCCCAGTCAGATGGAGATTTCAGTAAGGAACTATTTCAGATGGTCAGATGGGTCCAAGGTACTGAATGCTGGCACTTCTGTGAAGTTGATCAAAGAGTTAGATCTACTAAGAGCCACCCAGTCAGGACCAGGGCCAGTGTGTGGCAGGGAACACTTTACCACTGGTCTTAATTTTGAAAGTCAGTGCTAATGTACCCACGTTTTCCTAATGGAGATAGCTTGGTCCCAATGCCTCCTGGGAACTTCCGGCCCTGTCTAGCTGTGTGACCAGGAGCCATGAGGAGCTGGGAGACCATTGGGAGGATCACCCCAACCTCCCCAGGATCCAGAAAGGACACCTTGTGGCTGTTTCATGCACCAGGTTTGAGGAAGCAGAATGCCAAGGTTGGCGTTTCTGTGAGCGTGGACCTTGGTGTTGGGAATACATTCTCCAGAGCCTTTGGACGTTGGTTATGTTTAGTGTGTGTGTACTTCTCATTCCTGCTAGGGACAGAATTACATCGCCTCTCCCAGTTCCTACGCTGGTGCCCTGAGCCTTTGGGCGTTGGTTATGTTTAGTGTGTGTGTACTTCTCATTCCTGCTAGGGACAGAATTACATCGCCTCTCCCAGTTCCTACGCTGGTGCCCTGGCTTCGGGACATGGTCTGTGAGCTGTAGAACCATCAGAAAAATCAGGACAGGGGCAGCAGCAAGCTGCCCACCCAGGCAGGTTTCCTTTCGCCACAAAGGAGACTTAAATGAACCCAGTGTTTCCTACTATTGTGTCTCCCTTTCCCTGCCTTGCAAGCAAAGTCACTCTGACATGACCTTTCTGCCCTTTTGTTCTTCCTTGCCTTTCTCTAGCTATAAAAACAGCTTCCTCTGCTCAGCCATCAGATCTGTCCTTCCTGATAGAATGAAGCCCTCTGATTCTAGAATTACAAATAAAGCCAATTATGATCTTTGAATTGGTATAATATTGTTCTTTGGCAACAGGATTGAACAGTATCCTGGGTCCCCCTCTTCACCCAGCCACCCTGGAACATGGAGGTCCACCCACTGTCCTGCAGCCATGAGTGGCCACCGTGGGCAGCCGTGAGCCCTGATAATCACATCAGCTTGATACCCATCCTGTGAGGCCGGCCTTAATCCAGGCTCCTAGGTGTGCTGACAGTCACCTGCCCGTCGTTCCATGGCATGTTGCTCAGACAAGCCTCGAGTGACACTTGTCCAAGAAGAATGAGTATATAGGGGCCATGGGTTTGCCTTTGGGTGAGTGGGGACAGCACTTAGCTCCTAAGGGCTGGGGCTGCCAAGTGGGGAGCAGGTATTGATTGCTGGGGGACCATGGTCCCCTGATGAGCGTGTGCAGCTCAGTGGACTCTCCGTGCCCCACACAGAGGTTCCTCCAAACAGCGCCCCATTTACGAGGAGCCGCCTCTGTGTGGGCATGGAGAGGGTGTGTGTCCCTGCAGGTGGAAGGACCAGGTCAGAACTCTGTGCTTCTGTTACACAATTGGAGTGGCAAGGATATAGGTGGGGCAGCTTCGGTTGTGTTTTGCTATTGGCTGGTGGGGTTTGGTGCTCTGCAGAGAGAGAACAAGCACTGGAACATAATATGAGATTCTCTTAGCAAAATATTCCCTTGTGAATGTTAGGAACCCATACGTGCTGCTCATGGAGAGCTGGAGAGGCTGCATTCATCTTTTTCTTAGTCATAAGCTAATCACACACACCAGTGGTTCACACGTGTTTTTAGAGAACCAAGAGAAAGGTCATAACTAAAATTTGGGGCAAAAATGTGGCACAGGTGGAATCCTTGTACATCTGTTATGACCGTGTCACTGGCAGTGCCTGTCCTGCACAGCAATGTTCAAACACTGTGGCAATCGGACAGTGTGAGCACATTTATTTCAAGTTTCTAGGAAGTGAAAAACAGAAGGTCAGTTACTGACGCTTTGTGCATGCGCAGGGCCAGTTTATAAAAACTACTCCCTCTGGTAATACATTGAAATTGGGCGAGAGGAACAAACTAGCAAAACCCACCTCATGTCATTCAGTATGTTGGACGGTGAAGACCAAACAGAATGTCCCATTGGTGTCTCGATTTTTAAATGATTGTTGTATTAGGAATATAAGACAAAACAGTGCGATAAACCGTACAAAGGCAAGGGGAATCACAAAAACATTTTTACTACAACAAACGACTGACAGATGTTCCTCAGTGAACCATACAAAAAGGTCACAAAGCCTTTTTGGAACTGCAGGTGGGGCTACACATGACAACCAAGTCACAGTGTTACCAGTGAGGCTGTGACGTTTGTGTAATGTTCCCATCTTGGCTCAGAGAAACTTGTCTATCTGCATCATCTAAATAAAGTCAGATTTGGCCTGAGAGCATGTTCAAAGGGCCAAATAGTTGCTGCTAACCAGGGCAGTTAGTTCACCATAAAAAGGGGAAAAGAGGGCCACAAAATTAACATAAAGCTACATTCTCTGTGGGGGAAAAAAGGAAAATAAAGCTGAGTTTTACCCATTCCCCTGTAACTGACACTAACAATGGCCTTCATTCACTGGGCTTTGTCCTCACAGTGTGACGGGGGACAGGACAGCAGCAGACAGCCACTGTCTCCCAAAGTTTCACAGCAAAGCAGGCGGTGCTTCTGCACCTGTGTGAGTTTCACAGCAGGACAGGACAAGACAGATTTGCTAACGTGCTTTCAGTCACCCAAGGACGGAGTGTCCGGGTCTTTATTGTGCAATGTTCCTTCAACTGCGCCCACTAAGTGCAACCAGGGAGCGGGAGTCTTGGCAGAGCACGGAAAGTGGCGCAGCGGGAGGATGGGATGAGGCTGAGCATCCTTGGTATGGGGCTCAGTCCACGCCCAGCTGTGCCGGTGGCCGGGCTTTCTCGGTCTCCCTCTGCTCCCCACACCCTCGCTGGGGATCCTACGGACCAGGAGCCCTGAGCACAGCTCCGATCGGAGCAGGACCATGCGGGTCTGCAGTGCTGGGAGTGCTCTCATCTTTCAGAGCATCCAATGACCCTCCCAGCCTGTCCACGTTAGGGTGGAAATATTGGCCTTGAAACACAGGTGCTGCTGTTGGGTACTCTTCTGGAAAGAAGAGTGCAAGTTCAAAAGTCCCTCTGCCACCAGTGAACTTGGGAAGCATCATATTACATGGAAATCAAATAACAGCTAATTCTTTTTGAGACAGAGTCTTGCTCTGTAGTTCAGGCTAGCCTCCAACTATGGCGATCCTCCTGCCTGAGGATCCCGAGAGGTGGGGATAGAGGCAAGTACCACTGTGCCAGAAATCATTAACTGATTTTTATATAGACTATTGTTTTGTGTGGTTTTTTTTTTTGGTACCAGGAGTTGAACTCAGGACCTTGTGCTTGCCAGGCAAGCGCTTGTGCTGCTGAGCTATATCCCCAGCCATTAACTGATTTTAAAGGGAGAATGAAATGAAAGTTTATGACAGGAAAGAAACATGCTGACTGACTTATAGGCAACCCCAGGAAAGAGATAAGTGGGCAACTCCATAACAACCAGCTACTTGAGAAAATAGTGCTAAACAAAAGATGCATTTCACTTCAGGAGTTCCCAAAGGATGTCACTATCCATGGGTTTTGTCTAGAAGGGTTGGGATCTCTGGACAGGGTGGGTTCAGTTACCATGTAGGGGTGAGTTTGCACATGGCCCAACATGTGCTGCAGAAATATGCTGCGTCCCCCTCTCCAGGAGGAGAATGTACTATGAAAATGCACTGCAGGGTGGGTATAATAATACTTGGGGTCGGCTCTTGGTCAGATCTGTGGCATCTTCGCTTGCACCGGCTCATCCAGTTTGCCTCCCCACCCCACCCCACTTTCTCATCTGCAGGAATACAGCCGCCACCGTGGGTGACCAGCAGCCTCATTCACACCCCCTCTTGTCTCCAGCGGTGCAGCTGCCCGCCCCTCTGCTCTCAGGCACTGCTCACACATCCTGCCAGCCCCCCGCCCCTCTAGGGGCTCCAGCCTGCTTAGTCTTCAGGGGAGCTGAGAGGTGATGGTCCATCTTCTAGAGCGGCTGCAGAATGGTGAGGGATGATAGGGCAAGAGAGACTCCATTTTCTGTTTTTAACTTCATATTAAGAGAAGTCACTTAAAGTTCACTTAAGCTATACTTCGTCCCAGTCACCTTGGTTAGTTATGAACTCAGAGCGGAACACAGCCATAAAATGGGAACAGAACAAACAGGACAAATTGGGAAGTGGGCTAAAAGTTAAACTGCCATGGTCATGTGGAATTCTGTTGTCTGACCTTCTGGGAGAAGTAAACTTTGAGATAATTCTGACATTCTTGTAAGATTCCCAAAAATGAGGTAATGGTTACTATAGAAACCTAAAATGTACTTAAGGTGAGACCCAGATTGGCTCCTGGTTAGAGACTGTCTGTCAGCCGGCTCCAATAAAGCTTTGTTCATTCCTGCCTGTTCGGTTTTCTTGTGAGTGCCTTTCTCAATGAACTCACTTGCCCTATCAGGAGCAGTGGCCCTGCCCCCTGGGGGGGCACCAACCCTTGACTGTCTGAACACGGAAACCAAATGGCCGGCTCTCACTTTCAGCGCCAATGTGGTGTGGTTGGGACACCCGTGACCATGCACAATGTGACTGCTGCAGTCTGGAAGAGACAACTGAACAAATCAAACAAGCACTGGCCCAAGAGGAGGAGGAGGAAAATGGCGACAAGGGGGCCAAGGAGACACAGGAACCAAGTGAGACTGGGCAGGGCGACCATCCTGCCGTGGGCACAGTGCCCAGTCCAGAGTCTGTCTCACTTTACACTCTGTGAGCGCAGGAAGGCAGACACCAACCGCACATATGGAGTAGTAGCTTTAAGTGCGGAGCAGAGGTGCGTCAGGGAGCTCACTGACGCAATCCGCCTGTTAGCCATTCAGGGCCATAGTCAGTGAGCAAGGGTGTCACTCACCATCTCTGTCTAGAGGAGGGGTGTCTTGGGAGTCACTCTGCATCCCCGATGGTCACTGGAGGCACAGGGAGATGGCCCAGCGGTGCCCGGGTTATTTCCACACCCTCAGATGCCACAGGTGGGCGAGTCAGCTGCTGGGTTTGCTTCTCTACCCGGCCATTGCTGTGTCAACTCCTCCCGCTCTGACAGCAGCTGGGTGGCGTCTGCGCCCCTTTCCCGCTCAGCCTTGCTGCCTTTGTTCCCTTTCCTCATGGAAGGCTCTAGAAAATGCACCTTCCTTTCTCTGTTTCACATTCCCTCCGTCCCTCCCCGCTGCACTTACACTTTCCAGCTGGGTGTTCAGGACTGAGCGGGCGACCTCTACAAGGCCCCCTCAGCCTTTCTCCCATTACCTGTCAAGCAAGGCCCGCTGAGGCTCCCGCAGCCCTTTCCCCACCCCCAGATG